TACGGAACCTAAAAAGGGTTTAGTACAGATCAAAAACCCCTTACTAAACCCTTTAAAGGGTTCCGTATATTTGCAGTTTCCCGAACCCTTTTTAGGTTTTTTAAAATGCTTATTTTTTTTAGAGAGTAGGTCGGGTTACGAAAAACATTAATAGATTAGGTTAGATTTAGGTTATGAAAATTTTTATAGGTTAGATTATAGGTTGTCAAAAAGTCGTAACCTGCAGGGTTCTACATGTAAGTCCTAATACTGCTATTTATGATGATGAAATTCTCCCCTAACTAAATATTTTTCTATAAGTATCATTTTATGTAGCGATAGCAACGATCACTATACCGTCATGCATGGCAAGAGAATGCTTTAATCTTAGATAGCGTTTCAAAATATATTCCGGTTGGTCGCTATTTCGGTATTCCTCTGTTCCTCTATTCCGCGACTATTCCTGTATTCCGTTGTTACATAACATTTCATTTTATAGTAATTTTTATATAAATGTATACAGGAACTTCATTTTCTTTTCTAATTGGTTTGATTACTTTAAAGGTAATAAACCACTATGTGTCAAAAGATTATGTTTTTATCAACAGCAAAAACAGAGTCTTCCTTTTGCAGTTTATTCTACTCTGATACTATTTAGACTTTTCCTATAAGAGAAATTCTTATGTTTTTCTGTTTAACAATAAAATAAGGGAAGAATAAATTTTAGCCTATATTTTCTGCAAATGTCTTTTATATACTCAAGGAGGAGAGCGCTTACGTATTGTTTATTTATTTCGTGTTGTACCAACTTAGCGAGTTTCTTTTTCTTTGCAAGAAAAATAAGTTTGCTTAGAATATGTTTGGTGAAAAAACAAAAAGCCTTAGCCATATGTCCATTGGCTACAAAAACAAAATGGTTATTTTTTAAACGATATTTTGAGACAACTGCAAAGCATATATTAATCACAGTTTTAAGCATTGCCTTTCTTATTTGAAATCGTCTTTTTACCATCAGGATAGATGTACACTGGTACAGATCGATCTGTACCATTGTACATCTATCCTGATGGTAAAAAAGCGGTTATAACACGAAAGAATGGTATCGGATAGTGGCATCTACTGAATGAAAGAACAGTGGTTAAAGTACAACACGTATAGTATAACTAAACATAAAATAAACGGTTCGCTTCTTCTACTCTCAGTTTGTTACATTACTATTTTTTTATTTAATATATAGGTAAAGGTCAAAATAAAGATCAAAAATTCCAAATAAGAAAGGAAATATTCAAGCTGCAATTGTCTTATGTTTTATCCTGAAAATTTTACCCATTACTTCTTACAGTATATGTTAATCACGTAAACACAAGGTGCATTCATTCACTGATCTACGCAACTCTCTAAATATTCAGATATGAAACTCATGGCAGTCCTAGTAGAAGACGTGGAAATTGATCAATCATCTGATGCTGATGATGATATACTCATGCTTAAGCATTTGCAATCTCTTGGATATGAGTACAAATTAATATCATGGCACTCACCTCCTGCTTCTCTAGATCACTTTGATCTATGCCTTGTACGTATTGCATACGGCTACCACACATCTCCCGATGCTTTTCTTCAACTAATCAAACGGTTTAACGAAGCGGGAGTAACCGTTCTAAATCCTCCAAAAATGATCAATTGGAATTATCATAAAAAATATCTTCTTGAACTGCGCAACCAAGGTTTTCTTCTTCCTTCAACTTATTTGATCGAACAAACAGCCTCAGCTCCTAAACTTTCGAGTATTATGGCTGAAACAGATATTTATTCAGCAGTGATTAAACCAGCTATATCTGCAAGCGCAACGTCTACGTTCAGAATTACTCTACCAGTCTCGTCTGATATGCAGAAAAACTTCGAAGAAATACTTGAAAAGCACGATGTTCTCGTCCAAGAATTTATGACAGAAATTGCACAGGGAGAAATCTCACTGATTTATTTGTCAGGACAGTACAAGTACGCTGTCAAAAAAATACCAAAGACAGATGGGGGTTGGTTAGTACAAAGTGAACACGGTGGACGTACCATTGAATATCAGGCTGAGCAAAATGAAATAAAGGTAGGCGACAAGATAATGTATTGGCTCGAGCAAAAATTTGGTAAATTTCCACTTTATGCACGGATTGATGGCATTAAAACGGAGAATGGATTTTCACTTATGGAAGTTGAATTAATTGAGCCGGGTTTGTTTTTTTCTAAGAATGCTGCAAAAATAGCACTTTTTGGACACGCGCTTACAAAATATAATGAAGCTTAAAAAATAATCGATAATTGTAAGCAAGCAAGCACATACTTCACACTAATACAATAGTTGGTAAAGAAGAAATACCCCAAGTATAGATGTGCACCCGTACCCGACCCAAAATTTCGGTACGAGTAGAGCACTTACGGATACGGGTTCCGTTTCTTTTAATTTACCCCCAAACCGGAAGGTTTGTAGTGGAAAATTTTTAGACATAAATGGTACACTCTAAAAAAATATGTTCGTCAGTTTTTCAAAGAACTGAAAAGTCAACGGGAATTTTATTCTTCATTTGTCCTAAATAGAGAACTCAAATTCTATTCTTTAGCTCTCAAGAACTCTAAAAACATGATTTTTTTCCTTCTTTGAAAAATGGAAACAACGTCCAATTTGTTATTGATGTCTGGTGGTACCGGGTCATTCAATGCCATATTGTTGCTTTGCATTCGCACTATCTCAACTTTCAGCACAATTCTCGATTTGCACTGCAATTCTCAAAATTCTCAACTTTCAAAACAAGTCTCCTTTCACAGTAGAAATCTGAAAATTCTGAGCTTGCAAAACAAGTCT